TCAGTTAACCGCCAGAGGGAGCAGTGGCACGCTCTGTTGCTGCACCTGCATTGCACCTGTAGGACATCAGGGTTAGATGGAGTTTAGTGACTTCATGGCCAACTTTTCCCAGGTTACGGAAGATATGATGCTTGAGCGACATGATCCTAAGACATCGCCTGACTCTGAAAGGACATTATTCTAAAGGAACAACCGAAGTACATCCTTTGTGAATGGCAAGTCAATCTAACTGTTATTGTACCAAAAAGACACTACATTTAACGTAACAATTTCTTCATCAATCCTTAGGGAAAGCTGCGTAAGGAATCATAAAGCATCTTTCAAGCAGAACTCTCTCTGGCAAACGATTTGTTACCCCAGAGCAGAGTCCTAACTATGCCGGGGAAAGCAAATCCCTTCCTCTGTCATATTAATGATTATGAAGTGGCAGTTCTTAACTTCAGGGCCTGGGAGCAGAGACCTCTCCTCACATCTCACCTCTGCCACCTAGGCTCTTTTTGACACCTCCACCTCCCAAACTGCGAACAGCTGAGGGTTGCTAGGAGACCAGGGCAGAGGCAGCAGGCAGGGACCGAGGGGACCTCCCCTCACTGGGGGAGCTAGAAGGGTGAACACAACCACTGAGTGAGTAGGGAAGAAATACTTCCTAGTCTCAAGATCTAGTTTCAGCAGAGTTAATTGGAAGGGAAGAGGTAAGATTGTCACTATTTGCAGATGAAATGATACTCTATATAGGCAACCCTAAAATCTCCACACAGAAGCTATTAGAATTAATGAATGAATTCAGCAAGGTAGCAGAATACAAGATTTATATACAGAAATCTATTGCATTTCTTTACATTAATAACAAACTATCAGCAAGAGAAAGGGAAAAACAAATTTCACTTAAAATCATGTGAAAAGAAATAAAATACCTAGAAATAAACAACCCAGGAAGTGAAAGACCCGTATGCTATAAAACACTGGTAAAGGAAATTGAAGGTGATGCAGCGAAATAGAAATATATCTCACACTCTTGGATTGGAAGAATTAATATTGTTAAAATGGCCATATTACCCAAAGCAACCTACAGATTTAATACAATCCTTATCAAAATACCCATGACATTTGCCACAGATGAGAACAAATGATTTTAAAATTTATACGGAGGCCACAAATGGTCTAGAACTGCCAAAGCAAACCTGAGGAAAAGGAACAAAGAGGGAGGCATAACCCGTTCAGACCTCAGACACTACTACAAAGCTGCAGTAATTGATACAGCATGGTATTGGCACAACATCAGACATCGAGATCAATGGGACAGAGTAGGGAGCCCAGAAATAAACCCACACCTTCGGTCAGTTAAGCTACAACAAAAGGGGCAAGAATATGTAATGGAGAAAAGACAGCCTCTGCAACAAGTGGTGTTGGGAAAGCTGGACAGCTGTATGTAAGGCAATGAAATTAGAACACTCCCTCACATCATATACAAAAATAGACTCAAAATGGTTTAAAGTCCTAAATATAAGACATAACACCATGAAACTCCTAGAAAAGAACATAGGCAAAACATTCTCTGACATAAATCATAGCAATATTTTCTTAGATTAGTCTCCCAAGGTGAAAGAAATAAAAGAAAAAAATTTAAAAATGGGACCTAATCCAACTTTTGCGCAGTAAAGGAAATGACCAACCAAATGAAAAGACAACCTGCAGAATGGGAGAAAGATATCTGCAAATGACGTTACCAACAATATCCAAAATATATGAAGAGCTCATATAACCCAGTATCAAAAAATAACCCAATCAAAAAATGGGCAAGAGACCTAAATAGACATTTTTCCAAAGAAGATATATAAATAACCAACAGGCACATAAAAAGATGCTCAACATAGCTAATTTTTAGAGAAATGCAAAACGAAACCACAATGAAATACTACCTCACACCGGTTAGAATGGCTATCATCAAAAAAAAAATCTACAAATAATAAATGCTGGCGAGGATGTGGAGAAAAGGGAACACTCCTATACTGTTGGTAGGAATATAAATTGGTGCAGCCACTATGGAAAACAGTGCAGGGTTCCTTATAAAACAAAAACTAGAGATATCATATGATCCAGCAATTCCATGCCTGGGTATATATCCCCCCAGAATGAAGACTCTAACTCAAAAAGATACATGTACCCCAGTGTTTATAGCAGCACTATTTACAATAGTCAAGACATGGAAACAACCTAAGTGCCTAAAAACAGACATCTGGCTTAGGAAGATGTGGGGGGGATGTGTGTGTGTGTGTGTGTGTGTGTGTGTGTGCATGTGTGTGTGTAATGGAATATTACTCCACCATAAAAATGAATGAAATATTGCCATTTGCAGCAACATGGATGGACCTAAAGAATATTATACTTAGTGAAGTAAGTCAGGCAGAGAAAGAAAAATACTATATGATATCACTTATAGGTGGAATCTAAAAAATAATACAGAAGAATCTACATACAAAACAGAAACAGACTCACAGACATAGAAAACAAACTATGGTTACCAAAGGGGAGAAGGAGGAAGGGAGGGACATACTAGGAGTATGGGATTAACAGGTACAAACTACTATACATAAAGTAGATAAGCAACAAGGATTTACTGTATAGCATAGGGAACTATATTTAATCTCTTGAATAACCTATAATGGAAATAATCAGAAAAAAATATATAATGGAACCACTTTGCAATATACCTGAAACTAACACAATATGGTAAATCAACTATATGTCAATTTTTTAAAAAGCTGTTTAAATTAAAACAAACAAAAAACAAAATAAAGAAACAGAAAGGCAGAGTTAAAGTACAATTGGGGAAGGG